CGGGGCAGGGCTTTCCCCCCACCCCCACCCCCCCATGCACAGGCAAAGCACTGGGGAGGAATTATGTTAATGCTTTTCACACCGTTTTGATCTTGCACACCTCTCATCTTCCCTTTGCGATGCTTGTTGAAGTATTTTGCCTCTATGAGACCAAGCCACCTGGAGCTCGGTGCCAAGGGGCCACCTTGTGTTTTCAGGCCCTCAGGCTCTGCCCACATGCCCAAACCAGAAAACAGTGGAAATCTCTCACTGAGGAAATGCCTCTAGCCGGTGCTAAAGTTCCCTGACCACAGCTTAATTTGAAAGGCTTGACCATGATGACAATCTAATCCAAATCTCATTGTGGCCTGGGTTTCCCCTGTCCTTATCTTCGTTACTTTCCTCCACATTACATTTCCCCCTCACTCCACATCTCCGTTATTGGTGGTAATCCATAATCCTTTCTCCTTGGAGCTCAGAAACTAGGAGAGGTCCATCCCTCCTTCCACCTTCTCCCAGTTTTCTCTCTGCCATCCATCAACCACTCTTGGTGCTTCCGAATGCTCTGATCGCTCCACGTTTGGGGAATTCTCTATATCCTTGCAAAACGGGTACAAAATGCAACCCCATCAGATTGGCAGCCTCTTGCCCTGATGTAAACGGCTGTACAAAGTTCAGGGTAATTTTGGCAGATGGAAGAGCTCCTCAGCTTTGAAGTTCTACTTTAAAACGCCCATCACCTCACCTGACAGACCAATCTTCCCTTGCCAAATTATCAGCAAATATGGCAAGTGATGTAAGCGCGGAGCTACTGCTGCACAGCAGCTGTGCAATTAGCATGGGCATTATAAGTAATTGCTTAATTTTGCACCTGTGTAAACTTTGTCATAAAACATTTGAATGAGAGGTTTTTACATCAGGGATATTTTGTAATGGAGCAATGCCTTGGCAAAGCTGTTTCCCCTCCTTGGAAGCCTCACTGGGAAGGAAGCTGTGAACATTTTTATGCATTTTGAATGTTCCAGTGCCCAGTTCTGTGAGATTCTGACCAATTTCAGTTGGGAATATAGCTGTTAGCTTTTTAGCACTTTTCCCCCATATGTCTTAAAATATACATACATAGTCATTGAGGGGGAAGAAAAAAGTTGGTAACTCTCCTGCATTCATAGCGACACATAGTGAGTCAGAACTGAAAATGAATCTCTGAACAGCGGGGATTCTCCTCCTCATTGAGGGGGAAGAAAAAAAGTTGGTAACTCTCTTGCATTCATAGCGACACATAGTGAGTCAGAACAGAAAATGAATCTCTGAACAGCGGGGATTCTCCTCTATGGGGGGGGGGAACCCCCACCCAAAACCCAACAAAAAAACCCGCCAAACTTAGCTTTCCGTACACCCCATCCTTTTCAGAGGTCCTAGAATGTGATTTCTCTCATGTAGGATTAAAGTCATCCTCTAACTTTGCTAAAAGTGCCAATAACTTACTCTTAGTAAACAAAGATGTAAGTATTAGTTATTAGTGCCTTTCTAGGTTAGTTTGGCATTATATACATCTGTACTGCATCTTCAGATTGAAAGGGAAGGTAAAGAACATGCCTAAAGTCACTCTGTCTTTTATATTCTCTTTTATATTCTTCAAATATGATGATACAGTGGCATCTTACAAAACCAGAAAGTAAGCAACTCCCCCCTTCGGTATCCTTTCCTGCAGGTCTTACAGTTTGCAGAAGGTTAGCAGTGTGGCACTCAAGCAGGTCCCTCTCCAGTCATAGAGGAAATGCGACTTGGATGTCACAAACAGGCTTCATGCATCTGATTTATCTCATCTTTGCGCAACATCAAACAGAGATATCACCTCTGTCATGCTTGCTTCATTTCCTAGTCCAGCTACATGGGCGACTGAGTTGTACTAGTTAGAAGGTCCATCAGGTTCCTATTAGGTCTCAGTCACGAAAGTAGCTCCTTACCAAGGGTTTTGTTAGGATTCATTCAGCCCTGGACTGCAGAGGAACTTCAGTGTCACACGGGTCTCCTTGCCTTCAGGTTCTCTCCATGCCACAGGGTAAGAAGGGCCACGAAAGCCCTCGTCTTTAAGATTTGTACTCCAGTTGAGTGAGGTCATTAAGTGCATTTTTTAATGACCATAAAGGCAAAAATGAAGTTAATATTCATTAGTCCTACTTTAATTATATCAAACTGTAATTATAACCAAAACATGCCGACGGAGTGAAGATCAGTCTAATTTTTCTCTTCTTCCAGTTTACCATTAGGTGGCAGTGAATAGCTCCCTCAAAAGCTGCCACAAGCTCAGGCTGTGCTCCCAAGAAGCTTTGCTCAAACGCAGGCTAGTCACACATCCATCTGACGACGATGTTCTTTAAGCTTCTGTCAGGCCATTTCAAGCTTTTTTTTAAAAATTTTTTATTATTTTTTTATCTTATGGCACCTCAGCAACATACAGTCAAAAGTTTCAGCTTTGGTAAGAAAGTTATAGATAGTTATCAAACATCTCTGGCAGACTAGTGGTGGTCTGCATATCCTTTTGAAGTTTGGGTGGGAACTTAGTCTGACCAAGATGTATCCATCTTGCCATGGCTATTCTCATAGAATCGCCTCATTTTTTTTTTTCACTGGAAATTCTGTCTAGGAAAGGTAATTCCTCTCTTGTTTATGGTTTTCATTTTGTGCATTTCAATATACTCCCTATGACATTCACACACAAGGAGATTAGTCTTTTAGTTTTGATAGCTCAGAGAAAAAATTCTTAATAGCTTTTGACCTCTATGTTGGAATCTGTAATCGGGAATTCCCTCCCTACCGCCTAGGGTTTTTTGTTACCTTTTTTTTCCCGCAAGGTTGGTCAAGTGACAGCAGTAGATCTGCTGACACTCGTTGCGTCTCAAAATAAAGTCAAGAGCACCAAGTTGCCATTCTAGCCCTGTGAGTAGCTCTGACTAACATTCTGCAACGCACATCTCACCAGATTACTTGTCACTGCAGATTTAGCTTCAACATTACCATGTTGGAACAGCACGCCTTTCAAATTACCCTGCTTATTTCAAGGTGTACTGAGAAGGTGACTGGATGGTGTTCTATGCATATTTATGCAGCCTGGGAAAACACAGTGTCCCCGTGTAAGCATCACCTTTAAGTTTGTCCATATTCATTTGAATAATGAGCTAAAGCTCCCTGGCTGCTAATTCACCTCTTCCTGTGTCACACCTATTGTAACTGCTTAGATGTTCTCTTTTCTTAGTCCATAGCCTGAGGGCAATTCCTCTAGCTTGTTACTTGCATCCAGTCTGTGACCAAATAATCCTACCACCTCTTTCTCTAAAGCCCCGTGTCTGAAAACTAATCTTTCATGCAGCAGAAGCTCCTTTTAGAGCCCTTCCAGTGCTGCCTTTTCAGTTGGCATGCTGCTCTAAACTGGTTTCCCTTTCTCACACGTTTACCCATATCATCTACTGGGCTATTTTTACTGTAAAACATCGGGTTCATTCTGTCTTTAGGATACCTTTAATGTCACCAGCCCCCACGTGCCCTGAAACTTGGCTCTGTCTCTCTCTTCTTACCATCTCTTCATGTTGCCATTTCATCTCTTGCAATAACAACTGCATTATGAACTTCTGACCGCTTTTCCCTGCAGCCACATTGGTGTCCTGCACAGAGAATCCCTTTCCAGCAGTGAACAAGGTCTCATGAAACACCTTTGCTTGCAGCCTACTTATTCCTTGAAAAATCATCTTAGACATGATAGATGGAAAATTAGATGATTAAGGTAAGGTGGATGAGCTTCAGGTATTGTTTTATATTTCTTCAAGTGGTAGAGATATAGGCACCTGCTAAAGTAACATTCTTTTTTTTTCGTCCCCATCCTTTTCACTACCTGACTAATTTGGCTTTTTTCCACCTATTCTCTTTTACAGTAGAAGGCCACGTTGAGCCATAATGCGAAAGAAAATGGAGGTGGGCAGTGCAGACTGCTCTGACCAGCACTAAAGAAGCTGATAGAGGCCACCCTAATAAGTCAGAGCACAACAGCCCACCTAAACCAGAAATACATAGATGCCTTGCCAGTGAAAATTGGTGTTACATCAGTGGTTAAGCAAATGGGAGGAAAACAGTGAGTAA